GGATCGCTTGAGGGAGCTGCTGACCACCATGGGCGATCGGTTCACAGATGAGGATGTAAGTTTCAAACAAAGACCTGAAGCATTGTTAATTCCTGTTCCAATTAAATATGTTCAATTGTGGGGAACCATTAGGTATTTAATTAAACATATTTGTGTTTACCTAGTTCACTAATTCACACCTCCATTAAACAGTGATCCCACTTGTTGTTGATACCTTAAAAGTAATTCTTGACACTAAAGTACTATGCCAAGGCTGTTTGTATTTGAATGGGTCGTTGAACCTAGTATAAATTATAGCTTAACTAAGTTTGACGTATGTTAGCACTAGCAATATACTTCATAACAGCTCAATTTCTAAAGGTTTTTGAGATTGGATCTAATTGTTTTCCATTATTTCCTGCAGGTGGACGAGATGTATCGGGAAGCGCCCATCAAGAACGGCCTGTTTGACTACCTGGAGTTCACGCGCATCCTCAAGCACGGTGCCAAGGACAAGGATGAGCAGTAAGATCGCCAGGAATCGATCGCCCAGCCAGCTGCCTCTTCAATCAGCCTGTCCAAACTATCCATCATGAGTTTCGTTTTGATAATTTAATATATATATATTTTTTTGCTCTCGCGCCCTCTGTTTTTTGATTCCTGATATTCCTGTACTTACCTGTGCATTTAAATTAAACAAAAAGTAGCCAACACAAGCGAATGTTATGTACGATATTGTAGTGTGTGAAGTTGGAGACCGATAACACGAATTCCCTGAAAAAACCCCTTTCATAAGTATTAACTCATTGAATATACATATATATTACCTATATACAAATACATACTTATACAAGAATGTGGCAATAAAAGTTTGTTTTTCTCACATTCGTACGTGGTCATGTCTGTCTAAATAGATGTCTGCGGAAATCCTTCATGCAAAAACAACTGATCAAATAAGAAAAGCTTTGGAATAACCCCACAGTGCAAGCTAACAGCATGTTGAATGGTCTTGATGTGATATATCTTTTGATGTGGGTGAAAATGAAAGAGAAAGACTGAAACAATTCAGATTTCTTGGAAACTTATTACAAGCTGACTAATAACTTTGAATTTCGAGGTTCGAAAACTCAATCATTAAAACACACATGTATGTCTTATCGTATGCTTTGGATTCCAAAGATTTGAGTCACATTTTTTCTGTAAATTTGATGACGTCAAGCGACTCTTGAATTTTTCTCCAGTTCCCATTACCTTCATATTTTGCCAGCCAAAAATGCATTTTCAAATTTAAAGAATTTATTTAAAAAACAATGAATAAGCTCGAGACGTGGTATTTTACAAACTTTTGGACAATTATTTATTAAAAAAAAAACAAATGTAGAAAGAAAAGAATTACAAACCAGACAATGAGGCGTCTACACACTAAGCGTATTCTATGTACAAACAAGGCGCTAGGACTATAAATTAATAGTTAATGGCCTCTGCAGCAGGATCCAACACAGCCCTCGTAGATTACTCCACTTTCTTGGCCAGCGGAGCAGTGTCGAAACGGCCCTTCCCGCTCGTTCTGGCCCGATAGGCATCCCTCACCTGGTTGATCACATTGGCAAAGAGTATGGTGCCGAAGAAGACCAGAATGGTGCCCACCCAATGGTTCAGGGTAAAGGGATTCCGGAAATAGATGATGGAGAACAGCAGCGAAACGAACTTACGCAGGGTGACCACCAGAGTGACGGTCAACGATGCACATTCGGTGGTCAGGACATAGACAGCGCTGATGCAAACATACTGGGTGATGACGTTGCAGAGCAGATAGAACAACATCAGCGGGAACTTCCACTCCAATCCAATGGCTCCCAGCAAGGGCACATCCACTGGTTCCGATGACCACGCAATACCGAAATGTTGCACTATATTCCCTGCCATTATCAGAAATCCAGGAAGGGGCAACATGTGCGTAAAGAACAATGCCTCACTGGGATGTTTGCCGTACTTCTTGTATATCACCTCCTGGTAGATGCCCATATAGGCGGTAACCAGGAGAGCGACCGTCAGCAGACCAATGCCCACCGACCACCAGAAGAAGTCGGAGTAGGAAGTATCCACTTTCAGGCTGTGATGCGTATTATCCTTGACGTCGCCACTGGAAACCAGGGTGCATAGTATAATGCCCGCCGTTATCATGGCCACAGAGCTGTACTGCCGGAGGTTGTAGCGCTTCTTTAGCAGCACAATACCCATTATCATGTTGGCCATCAGCGATCCGCTGCGGAAAATCATGTGCAGCGGCATGGGAATATTAAAGTTGAACGCATAGTTGTTGCACACATTCGCCCCAAAGAAGAGGGCCACGAGTATAACATAATCTTTGAGCGCAATCTTTGGACGCACAGTAAAGAACTTGGATGTAAAGACGAGTCCCTCCAGCGCGATGAATAGGAATTGGGCGAAGGTGATCAGGTTTCCGGCTCCCGGATCGATCTGGATGATCAGCTCCAGAAAGACCACGTTACTGCAACATCCGATAAACACGAAGAGCATGCCCAAAAGGGCCTTTAGATTTAAAGCCATATCTGTAAAATAAAAGTGTGCATTAGAGAGAGGTTCTACGGAATTTATCAAATTACGCAGGTCGACCAAAACCGGATCTTAATTAGTTGTTCTTAGGCCTAAAAAAGGGCCTACAATTCGAAGATTTAGTACCTTTTAGGTTTGGTGACGTAATTTACAGATTAAAGATTGTTTAGCTTTTATTCATGGGCTGTGTTTTTTGGTATTGATATGAAATAAATATCTCCATAAATCAGTATCATATTATATCTTTTAAATAAATACAACAAATGATATTTTTGAACGATGATTTCCTTAAGTAGGAAAGTAAAGCTTTTAGCACAAATAATTTTTCTATCGAGAGGGAACGACATAAACACATCTTTATCATCACGGTTTTTGATTATATTTTTGGGTATATAATAATGTGTGTGACAATAAAGTGTTATGGTTTTTTTTTATTGTCTAAGCATTACTATACACTTTGATACCGGAAACAATGGCAGAATATAAAATAGAATATGATACACTACAATGAAGAGAAAAACTGATAGTCAACATACAACAACTTCCCTAACAGTCAATAAGTATTTTTCGAGTGTTTGCGTGTAAAACATTATGTCTTATCGGTTATTTCAAAGGGAAGATACGAATGAGGAGTGAATTGGTTTAAACTATTCATAAAACGTGGTCATCACTGAGCTAAACATGCATTCTGAATATTTGAATCTATTGAAGTATTCCATAACTAACTAACTATTCATGCTGTTACTATCAACTGATAAAACTAAGTTTTATCAAATGGCTTGGTTATGATGAAATTCAGTAGCTAAATAGTTTTTCATCTGCAATAGCGAAATAAGCAGTACGAAATTAATTAGTTGTTACTGATATGTGTAAAGCATAAGCTGATATCGAATTAAATTGATACTTAGAAAGAAAAATACATTACTTTTCGAATTAAGAATAAAGATTAAGATCTAAGCATCATTACGCATATTAACTAATTGTATAATGAAATGGAATACAAACATGTATACATATGAACACATTCCCTACGTTTTATTAGCCATCAAATTTAATTACCATCTGATGCTTAGGTCAGAATTAAGTCGTAAAAATGTAGCCTTTTTGGTGGAACCCAGTTCTTTAAATATTACTGATTTGTTAAGATTGTTAAATAGTCATTCTGATAATCTTTGTATATTCAGATACATAATTTATAGTTTTCAGCTATATGCAGTTATTTCACTGATCAAATACCGAGCACTTAGATAGGTGAATAATACTGTTTAATTGTCTTCTAATCACTGATCGAACTCTAGGATATGTCCATATGTATGTTCTGGAATTCTATTGATAAACTAGTGATCAGTGATCACATCTCCGATTTCACACCGTGGGATTTAACTAACTTCTTTCAAGGTTGCTGGGTGGGTGGTTTTGGTTTCGTTGCCCGCTCAGCGTTAGTCGGCAAATCGGTCGATTGTCACGTTGCCGATAAGAAGTACGCGGATTGTTTGGTCGGTTGGCAATCGTTATCGGTATCACTTACCTTCGCAATGGGAGATATTCTAATTCCGCGGGAGATACAAGATACAGATGCTGGTTAATCCGGTTTAATGACGGATCTCGATTTGTTTTGTTTTTTGTTTCGTTTCGCTGGCGGGAAGTCAAGAATCATGATTGATTATATCAGTTTATATGCTGTATAAACACACGCACACATGCAAATGGGTAAATAGAATAAGAATATAGCACCAACACCAACCTGCGAATCAATTATCTCGCTCTGTCTCCCTCTCTCTTTCGCTCGCTCTTCGCATTCTGTTCGCACCGCGCGACCTTCACCGTTTTTCTATCTCTTTCTATGGCCTCTGCTTGGAATGCTGTTTACCGTTCGTTGGGCGCATTGGAACTGCGGCAATTTTTTTTTTGGTAGCTCGCTAATAACTGTTAACAGCTTGATTACAATCTAGTTGATTTGTTTTTGTTGTAGCTGCTAAAGGGTGCTGTTGTTGTCGAACAGCTGAAATTGGCTGGCGAAGTGTGACCATCTAGCGGTAACCACAAAATGCCGATTTTTCGGCAGCTTTAAGCTCAAGTCGATAACGATTGTGCAACCGCCTATCGAATTTGAATAATGTGGTTTGTACCCTTCATTTTATGTATTGCTTGATTTTAATTACTGATCTTATTTCTTTTTATGTTTTCTTAAGTTTATTTGCCAACAAATGTTGTTTTTTAAACTAACCAGTAAATCAAAAATGGGCAAATAAAGTTAGTTACAGAGTAGATCATTTCAAAAAGTAGGCTGATAACACATGTATAATGGGACAATGATCTATGTTTGTTTATCATATCACTCTCTGGATAATTACAGGTTATACTTCAATAAATTGCTATCTCATTTTTAATAGTGGCTAGTCCTAAAAAAGAAACCATTAACCCCTCGATGACTGCTTTAGCGGCTGAGATAAGAGAAATATTCGAGGTCTTATCTGCCGAAATACATAATCTGGTCATAGCCGCCATCTCAGTGGGCCTGTAAAGTTATTTACTTTAACAATGGCCCTGGTCTTGATTCGTAGTCTTCGTTTTTGGCAAAGATCGCAATCGTTTGGCAGTTGAATTTCGACCACGGTTCTATCATGATGGCCTTTCGATTGAGTTTTGTGCTCCTGGCCTTCTTCTTTACTAGTTCCTACCAGGTAATTCGATATTTGTAATGTTTATACGTAACGACAACCTTTAAAATATAAAAAGAAATTATTTAAAGCTAATTAAGTTGATATATGCTGTTTCTTTTTTGTTTGACTTTAAAAATAGTATGGTTTTATTAAGAAATATATTTTTAAATTCGTTGAAAGGTATGTAACAGGTATTATTATCAGGATTACTAGCTAATCTAGCCAAAATTATTTTAGTTTTATATTTTTAAAAACTGCACCTGTCACCACCGGCAGCAAAATTGTTTTAAAATTAGTTAACATAGTAATAGTATAGTATATTAGTATTAAATAGTCGATATTTTAAGTAGTTGCAACTGTTAATTTTACAATATTTTTATACCCGTTACTCGTAGAGTAAAAGGGTATACTAGATTCGTCGGAAAGTATGTAACAGGCAGAAGGAAGCGTTTCCGACCCCATAAAGTATATATATTCTTGATCAGGATCACTAGCCGAGTCGATCTAGCCATGTCCGTCTGTCCGTCTGTCCGTCTGTCCGTCTGTCCGTCTGTCTGTCCGTCCGGATGAACGCTGAGATCTCGGAAACTATGGGAGCTTGGCTATTGAGATTTGGCGTGCAGATTCCTGAGCTTCTTACGCAGCGCAAGTTTGTTTCAGCACAGTGCCACGCCCACTCTAACGCCCACAAACCGCCCAAAACTGTGGCTCCTACAGTTTTGATGCTAGAATAAAAATTTTAACTGAAATGTATTGTTCTCATCAATACCTATCGATTGACTCAAAAAAAAGTTTGCCACGCCCACTCTAACGCCCACAAACCGCCCAAAACTGTGGCTCCTACAATTTTGATGCTAGAATAAAAATTTTAACTCAAATGTATTGTTCTCATCAATACCTATCGATTGACCCAAAAAAAAGTTTGCCACGCCCACTTTAACGCCCACAAACCGCGAAAACCTGTGACGCCCACAATTTTCATGCTAGATAAAAAAATTTTAACTGAAATGTATTGATCTCGTCAATACCTATCGATTGGTTAAAAAAAAAAATTTACCACGCCCACTCTAACGCCCATAACGCTTAAATCTGTATACCGCCGGTAGGTGGCGCATTTTAATCTCGCTTTGCTGCTTGCATATCTCTATTTAGCTGAGTAACGGGTATCTGATAGTCGAGGTACTCGACTATAGCGTTCTTCCTTGTTTTAAAAATAATTCAATATAATAATGTAATCAGAATACTATGCAAATTGTACCGTGGCGTTATCTTAGAATTATATTTATTAATATATATATTTTTCCTGCAGCTTTCCAAGCCCGAGGATTCCACCTATTGGGCAGCGGTGGTAGAACACATGGAGGCGGAGGGTAATTCTGCTCGGAGTCGCACCAGTTCCATATCACAATCCTTTCAGGATATCATCCGAGATGTAGACGAAGTGGACATAATCGTATTTCCCGAGCATCTTCTAAACAGTCAGGATACGGCCACCTTTGTGCCCCATGAATCCCAGAATGTTACGCCCTGCTACCAAGCGGATTACGACCTGTTCCTCATTGAATTATCCTGCGCGTCGAGATCGAGGGGCTTCTATGTGGTGATAAATGTGGTGGAGAAGGAACTCTGTGCCAATGGAGCCGGATCCGATACCTTCGGCCCGTGTCCTTCGACAGGAGTTCGGTACTTCAACACCAATGTGGTCTTCGACCGCAAGGGCAGGGTTATCTCGCGATATCGTAAAAGTCATCTGTGGCGTCACGAATACATGGAGACATCGGTGCTCCGTACTCCCGATGTATCCACCTTTACCACAGATTTTGGCGTAACCTTTGGCCATTTCATTTGCTTCGATATGTTGTTCTATGATCCGGCAGTGAAGTTGGTAAGGGAACTGAATATTACGGATATCATATATCCCACTTACTGGTTTTCGGAACTGCCATTTCTGGGAGCTGTGCAACTGCAAGAGGGTTGGGCATTCGGCAATAATGTGAATCTGTTGGCAGCAGATGCCAGTCGACCCGATGGCAAGACCACTGGATCTGGTATATATGCAGGTCGGGGTGGAAGACTTGTGGCGGAGATTTTTGAGGAGCCCACAACCAAGTTGCTGATATCGGAGGTTCCCAAAAGAGAGTATGGTGAACTGGCTCCCATTTTCACACCCGTGTTCACGCCTCAGTTGAAAACCCAAAGAGTTACTGGAGTAGCCACCTACAGGGATTATAATGTGGATATTTTTGAGAGTGAACTTTTAGCGGAGGATTTCTTGAGCTTGGAAAGGACGTTGTGCCACGGCAGCTTTTGCTGTTCCTTTGCCATCGAACGGACGGTTACCACAGCCAGTGCCAACGAGGTGATCTCCTCGGATTCCAAGACCTATCGCTATAGAATAGCCGCCTATTGGGGCAATGAAACGACCGTGATCCGAGTGGATCGCACTGAGCAAGCCATTTGTGCTTTGTTCTCTTGTACGGATGAGAGTATCAGCAGTTGCGGTTACATATTTCCCGCAGAACAGGAGGTCATCAATAAGCACCATTTCACCAAGTTGAATATTTCTGGTAATTTTCCCGCAGCAACTCATGGTCGTCGTCTGATCATGCCCAGCACCTTGAATGCCCTATTCTTGCCCGTTTCTGTTTCGGATTTCGATTGGACTGAGTCACCAGAGGCTGCCCCAAATCCAGATAAACCTACATATGTGGCTTTAAGCCTATCAAAGGCGCAAAACGACCTACTGACCTTTGCCATTTGGGTCAACTATTTCACCGATTTGCCCAGCACCCACAACTTGGATCACATGCAACCAGGTTTCACTAGTCCCTCAACTTCTGGTTCCCCTGGATTGTTTGCCTCCAGTGTTTGGTGGGTCCTAGCCTGCCTGTTCATTATACTATAGATTAATTATTTTTTTCTGCCAAGTCATTATAATATACCAGAAAATTCTTTGGCACATACAAATAGTTTGAGTTTCCAGCGGATTCTGTGAGTCATATTTTTTTTACACATTTTTTTTTATCTCTAGATAACACACAATGACATTGTGACTAATAATACAATGAAGGGGATTTGAAATCTCAGGACAAGTGCTAAAACGTGATGTTTGATAACAAGCTAATGATAAATACCAAGTATAAAATAAAAGTAGAGCAGTCAAATGTTATCACATCTTTATAAGGGTATATAATGACTTTAATAATACATTTACCATTTGTATTATTGTGTGAATAAAAGCGAAGTCTTCAAATAAAGCTATATAAACCCTTCTATGGCACTGAAATCTCTTTCAAAACAATTTTGTTGGAATTGAGCCCAAAGTACATACAGATTTTAACTGACTTTGTCCGATTGTACTATTGTTAAACATGGATACATTTGATATTTGATGAGGTTTGGATGAAGATCCCTGAGTGTCAGTAATATCCAGTAAAACCCATGATTGAAGTACATAAGAATATATATACTTTATATGGTCGGTAAAGCTGTCTTTTACATGCCATGTACTTTTTAACGTGTAAAATATACCTCCACAAGTAAATAAACTGCAAATATTTGGTTCATAACGCATAAAATTAAAATTTGGTTTTGATATCCAAACCCTGTTATGGGGTAAGACTTCATATAAGCCAGAGCAAAAAACCAAGGGCAAGGGCAAGGCCAAAGAGGCACTGAGCCATTTCCTGGGAATTGGCTTATACAGTTGCAGGTTTTCTAAATGCAAGATGTGCACCTGTGGTTCCTAGAATTTTACCCAGCTTCTGCTTTCCGTTCTTTTCAATCCCCAAAAACTGACCGTTACTTTTTGGTGGCATTCGTGAGTCTCCAAAAAGGAGTCGGGAAACATTTGAATGAAAGGACGACCCCGCCCACTGCCCACCGCCCACCGCCCTTTGCCGCCCACCCAGCCGACGACCTTGTGGAGATTTCCTTCCAGCGCAGGCGCTCCAAGGACCTCTGCCAGCGTTGTTTGCATTTCCAACAGGTAGCGACGTCGTCGTCCATGCAACAGTGGCCGCCGTTTATAATGAGCCAAGGACGAAGATGGGAGGGGAAGAGGGCGTTGTTGTTGGAGGTCCTGCGGGTAAAAACCCACCCACCAACCACCCACAACCACACACACACTTATATATACGCAATGACAGCTAGGCATCTTCAATGGCAACGACAACGATGACGACTTCTCCGCGGGAGAATCCTTGCTGGACAGGATTCACGCTGTGACTTTCCGTGCGATTTAACATCATTTGCTTGCTGATGCCACACCGCCCCCAAAAGTACCGCCTCCAGCCCCGCCCCCTGACCCACCATCCTCACCAAAAAAAAAGGAAAGTATCAAACAAAAATACCTTGAACCTGAAATGGTGTCCAGCAACATGGGTAAAAGTTTTCCCAAAGGAAAGGGCTGCTGCAAAGTCAAATGGCCTAAAAAAAATGTTGGATAATGGTTAAAATACATACAAAAAAATATAAAATAAATAAGTAATATGTAAATAATGAGATAATAAATATCGTCAAACAGTAAATTAATGGATATTAAATTGATTTCTGTTGCTAGAAACAAATTTCATAATTTCTAAGCAATATATTTGACACAAATGGTGACCCAAAAAAGCCCACCCAAGGCCTAATAGATTTCAGATTTCAAAGTAAAATATCTCTTCAAGTTACTTATCAAAAATCGAAGGTCAAAATTAAACTTGTAATGCCAGCTAGCAATAGTACTTTTCCCCTTTTAGCTATTATAAGCTAAAGCTATCCTGATTTGAAAATATTTCCTTACCTCAAAGGATAAGATTTAAATGTTTTTACTATAATAGACCTATATCGAATACTCTCCCCTTGGCTGTAATTTCCCTTCATTTATTTGAAGTTCCCCCTAGCCTTTATTATTTCATTAAGCTCCCCTCTCGCCGTTCAAATCGATTCCCAGGCCTTGGTAAGCATTTTTTATTTTGCACAAAAATCAAAAACTTTGAGCTCTCTTCGCTTGCCCGATTTTTAGGGGGTGGCACTACGAGTGGTTCGGGGTGGTTGGGGGTGATTTTGGGGTGGGTGGGATGCTGCTGTGGCACCTGCCACTTGAAAATTCCACACGGCTTCTGTTACATTTTGATTTATTTGCTGAAATTTATTGTTAAAGTGAATGGAGGCGCAAAGTTGCCAGTGCGAAAGGGGGGCGGAGTTGGGGATGGAGTGGGTGGCTGGGTGGCTGGGGGGGGGGGCGTTTATGTATAACAGGTGGCGAAGTGTAGGTGAAGGCCGCCGTCGCGCCCATAAAATATCTGGCCGTGCGGATGGTGTACGGCTTCTTTTTTCAGACGATTTCCTGTGGCTCAACTCCGGCCTGTTCCCGCCATTCAATCGAGTGGTCCGGACGAGGAAGGATTCTCAATCAGAATCAGTTCCAGCCATTGACACACACACACAGGAGGGCGCCGCATTAGCAACTAACCACATTCGGAACTCGGAACCATTTTGATTCCTTTTATCCTGGCTACAGAGCAAAGAAAAATTGATGATTTGCAAGTAAGAAATATTCAAGAAACGCGAATTCCTTAGCATTGTGCTTTGACTGAAAAGTAAGAACTTCAGAAACGCGAATTCTTCGGGATTGCTGCTTTGTGTAAAGAAAACTTTTCAGAGATGTTCATTTACAATGTTTGCTCTTTGTATTAATTTTAAATTACTTATAATTTTATAATGTTAGTTTAATAAGTCAGTTACAATCATAAACGCATTCTATGGACTTGTTTTTATATTCAAGCACACACCAAATTTCTTTCTAGATAGTCATCCAAATTATAAACGCTTCGTGGGACCATTTTTAATATTTTACAAAATTGTTGGGCAGCTTAAAGATTTCATCTTCAAAAAAGTTAAAAAACAACTTGATTAAATAATTTTATACTATTTTCTTAATATTATCTTTAATATTGAAGAAAAAAAGAGGATTTGAAAGTAAGAAACTCTAAAAAAACGCGAGTTCCCCAGCATTGTTGCTTTGACTTTAAAGAAAGTAAAAATTTGAGAAACGCGAATTCTTCAGAATTTTTGTTTATCAGAGATGTTCATTCCGAGCAAACAGCTCGTTAGATTATAAGTTTCAAAAGACTATTACAATCATAAACGCGTTCTATGGATTTGTTTCTTTCTAGACAGTAAATCCCAATTATATACTTTTCGTAAGACCATTTTTAGAATTCTACGATATTGTTGGGTAGCTCAAATATTTCTTCTTAAACTACTACATTACATATAATTTTAGATAGTTTTCTTCATATTTTCTGACAGTGCAGTACCCTGCTGCCCACCTGCACCTCCATGGCCAGTGCTTCAGACACTTCCCTGAGGTCTCAGGCAGAACTGATTGAATTGAATATCAGTTTTCAGCTGCCGCAGCTCCCCAGATTGCCACGCCCCCCACTGTCGCCAGTCCGCCCCCTTCAGGTGCCTTTGCCGTTCTGGCTTGCCATTTGAATTTGAATGGAAATGATTTCACTTGATTTTCATATTTTTATTATGTTCCCTTCGGGCTCACCTGGCATACACATACTCCCATATTCGGAGTCATATCCCCATCTTACTCCCTCATTTTACACACTCACCCGGACGCCTTTTTGACTTTATTAAAATGTATTGTAAACAAGGCTCTGAGGGGAAGTAGGTATTTCACCGTATTTGCCCCCAATTTACCTGGCCGCAACTTTTGGTCGCTGGCAGAATGCAATTCTCTAATTGTATGCGGAATGTGGCAAACATTTGTGGTTTTTAAGTGGGCAAGCCATTCGGGAATTCTCCAGGGTACTGTTTGAAATCAATTGATTCCAGCTAAGCAGTGGTTTTTCAAAGGTTATCCCATAACTCATGAAACATCTTACATATATAAGGTTACTCAAGGGGTTTGAAATCATTCTTAAAAATGCCTAAAAGTAGGCAATGAAAACAAACGGGGTTTCAAAAATCAGGTTCATCGAATTTTATTGCATACTTTTAGACATCTTTATAGGTAATTTCAAAAACCCATAGATTTTTCTGTTAAAAATTAATAAATATACATTTTTGTTTAAGCTGCATTTTAGTATTCAGTTTAATAAACATACTTGCACCACTTTTAAGCTGCGTTATCAAGTATTTTAAAAATGCCAAATTTTCCAAACCAATTAATTAAACATGGTCTACTTTTAAGCTGCTTGATCAAGTATTTTAAGAATTCCATAATTTGCAAATTAATCAAGTGGGAATTCAGATAAAATGTTTGATTTACAATAATTGTTTAGCATTACTCATTTAACCAGTGACCTTCCTCATTATTTGCCAAACTCCGTTTGTGGTGGCCCGCAATTTTTTGGCCACTTGTCCACGCAGCCGGAATTCAACCACCCTGCTCAGGTATATGTATATATATATATATATAAAGTATATATACCAGCACATATATATATTTATATATGTATTTGTGCGTGCATACAGATGTATAATTTAGCAGGAGTAGGGCAAACCTGGGGCCGAAACAAAAATATAAATAAGAAAGAATATGATTACGTATACGCAACGTGGAACTTCTTTAACTTCAAGTGCGTGAGAGTGGGCTAGTGTGTGTGTGTGTGTGTGTGCCTGGTCATTACGCACGTAGCATTTGTATGAATGGAAAACCCACCCACTCTACATCCCCTCCCCCTCCCATCACCCCACTCCATTTTCCTTGCCGCATCGCTGAGCACATAAAAATAAATCAAGTTTTTCTTCATTTCCTTTGCTGTTCGTCGACTTTTCCTCTCCCCGATTTTCCCCCTGCTATTTTCCCTGACTTCTTTTTTGTGTGTTGGCCTTGTTCCTGCCATATGCCTTTTTTAAGATTTTAACTTTATGTGGCATACTTATGGGAGCGCGGAAAATGCGGAACGGCAACGCACAGGTGGAAAAGCTAACGATGCCGCTGACCGCATGCGTCCTTAACGCGTTTTTTATGCTAAAAACTAAATGAAGTTAAGCACGGGCAGGAAACGGCAGGGAAAACAGGTAACAGGTAAAAGCCAACAGGTAACAGGCAACATGTAACAGGCAACAGGAACAACATAAACGACAACACATGGTGATAAAGGCGACGGGGCGAACTAATATCTAAAAAATAATAAAATGCCACGGGCAGCAGCCGCAGACAAGCGTTCAACAGCAACAGGCTACATAACCACAAGTGGTAACAACATCGACAAAAAAAACCAGCAACAGAAAACTACAAAATACACTCAGAAAAATAGGGTCCACAAATCTAAAAATCAGGAACAATCGATTAAAAGTATGCTAGAAAATTATATATCTTAAAAAGTTACGTTATTTGATGTAAAGAAACCTAAATATTTATAAAGTATATATTTTTAAAGGTATAATCTGGAAATCAAGAAAGGTTGCCCGAAAGTATGCCAGAAAATTATATTTCTTAGAAAATGATGTTATTTTATGTAAAGAAACTTTATTATGTATAAGTTATTGTTAACATTTGCCGAATCGAAATAAAAATAGCTCTTAACATAT